AAATGTTATTTATCTGATTCATATTTATCTGTCTTTGTCTGACTTCGAAGTTCACACGTTTTAAGGGGGGGGGGGGAGGGAAATAAACGTTTAGTCCAGAGATATAGTGATAAAGTTGCAAAGTTTTTACAGACACTGATGTAGCCGGGAAAGCAATCTAAAATAACAATGGCGTGATAGGGTTAAACATGCAAAGTGATACAGATTTCCAGACATGTTTTTACCCAAAATGGATGAATGTATCCCTTCTACAAATGTGTTTCTAAGAATTCCTTCTCCTATTACAATTCCCACACAAATATAAAAGATTGACACTTGACGCGGTTTGCTCAATACCTCAGTCTCGAAGTAATTGCAGTATCATTGTAAAAAATTCGCAATGTCATTACCAAATTGCAACGTTATTACAACGAGATACAACGTTAAACAAAGTAACAGCAGTTACAAGCAACTACTTCCATTTTCTGCCAAAAATACTGATTTCAATTTCATAGTTCGGTACATCGATGCCGATGGTACTTATGTTCCATCTTTGCGCGAACGAACCATGTAAATACAAAACTGACCGAAATTTATTGCATGCATTATCGTAAGCGCATTCGCAGAGACTCGCAGCAGGCTCGAACTTGATCAAAATGATTGAGAATATATAGGATACATTCGCGTTAAAAACGCGAAAAAAACGCTTTCTTAGCTCGTAATGGTTTTAACATATCTTTATTTATCTACCTAACAGATAATTTAATTACTAAAAAATAATAAATGCATCGATAACCAAACGAATTAACGACTGCGTTATGAGAAGGTTTTTCAAAATTGATATAAATAGAACAATTATAAAGCGTAATTAAAATTCTAGTTTCTTTTATAACCATTAGTACATGTACGTGTATCAACTGTATCAACACTTTAGATATCCGTCGTTATTTATATAAACAATAATAAAAACGAATAGTATTTAAAATATTGATGTAATGAATTTGGTCGTAGCGTTTGCAAGAACTAGCGCAATTAACATATAAATTTCCCGATAAAAAATTTTTCATGCATAAGTATTATATATACAAATATGTATAAACATACTTAGAACATATTTCCTATAAAATTATGTATGTTTATGAATACTTATATATGTTTATGTATGTTTATATATATTTATATGTATATATTCATGCATGACAAATTTTTTACCGGGAATACACAACGTATACAAACAAATAATAAAAACATAAGACTCACCATGAGCAAGTGGACACCCTATATAACGAGGCGACTCTTATAGTAGGTATACAGAATGGGGTACTGTCTTATTTACGTTGAAGCAGTTGTCGGCTAACTTAAAGCGGTAGCCATCATTCAATCAAACCGAATAATTTAAACAGCCCGGATTCACGTAGCGAAATCATATAATATTTGACGTCAAGCATGATTATCGTATAATGGCACGTAATAGCCGTTTATTTGTACAGGTTCCAAGCGGCGCCGTAATTTTCAAATGGTATATTTGCCTTCTTGAGAACGACACTGCTGAATATTGTTGAATTGTTGAAAACTTCTTTGCACGCATTCTTAAACACGAATCTCATCTGACTATAAAACTTCGGTATCGACCAATAACAAAAAAAAAATGAACAAGAGTCCGAATCACCAACACCCTCGCGTTAGAAAAAGAAATATATCAAGCCGCAATATAATTTGGCGTGGTAAATTTTAAATAAAATTTAAGAGGCCATAGATAGAACGATTTTCTGACGCAACACAATACGATTGCACTGCTACGAAATAAAATTATAGATTACCAATCAAATTAGTTAGCAAAACTTGAAATAAATCTTATAAATCTTAAAATATATTAATTTGTTTTTTATTATTTAAACATAAATCATTTAACAATAGGTCATTGACAATAATGGAGTTTTACCCAAACTATGTTTGCAAATAATGATTAACTACTTAGCCAATTAAAATTTCGACGAATATTTTGAGCGATACGTTCCGATATTACGTTGTTTATAGTTACAAGAAAGAAAAAGCACGTACGTTGTTTTTATAGTTTCGAGAACATTCGGAAATAAACAAGTCCCGGAAAATGTTTGTTTTGATTAAGAAGGCGTTGATTTTCTATTGGATTATTGTATTATTGCGATTAATGTTGATATTTGTAAACCGAGATTATTTCTTATATGACTGCTAGGTATTTAATTAAGAAAAAACTATAATAGTACAAATGAGAATAATGTGAGAAAATAATTTCATGAGTTTGATTTTAAACATTAATCTTTAGATAAACGAGGATATTTTTTTTAATTTTATAACTTTTCCTTAAGTAAGATTTGTTATATAACTTACAATTCATTATTCCATTGTATTTTTTGTTTTGAAAATAATACTGATTGTAAATTCATCTTAAATTCATCTGAATTTGTTTTGCATGATTACTTGTTAAAAATAGAGAGATTCTGTCAATAGCTGTGGCAAAATCGATATTTAATCGAATTTGTCGAAATATGTCATTAAATTTAGATATTAATATTTTATGGCTTTGAAAACCCCTCTGTAGTACGTATCGTTTCGGATTATAGAAAGAAAAAAGTGCAGAAAAAATTTCTGTAGTAACCTTAAGATGTGAACGTAAGCCAATTAGATACTGGTGAGCTGGATGAAGGGCCTCCGTGTTCCGTTTATAATTATCACCCGGGTAACGGATTCTGAACGTAGCCCTGTAGATAAAATTTTTGTAATAACCTTAAGACGTGAACTTAAGTCGATGAGTCAATCAGGATATTACTTAGATCTACATAATCTGACGAAAGTAAAGTCTTAAGAGTATTACAAAAATTTTATTTTAGGAGCAAAATTTTTTTTAGGAGCACCCCATCAGATGATAATTATAAACGGGGAGTCCTTCACCCCACCGGCTCACTCGCTGTGGCAGTTCCGAGCGCGCTTCCTCGATTGGCTTTCACAAGGGATGATACCGCCCTCTTTACACTCGCTACTTCTCTTTCTAATGACAAAAACGAGATTTACGCGACACTTATATAAACAGGGAGGTGAAAGAACGATATTGTATGGAAAGGGATAAAATTTACAGATTTCTCATTTGCTTTATTTGCTACGTTGAATATTTTAGATATTTTTTTATTTCGAAGATCCTATCATTATATTTGAACTTTCGTTAATAAAAATGTGCGTTTTCCATCTACTTCCTCATTTGTTAACGTATTCATATGATCTTTGCAAAATATACGTTTTCTACATTTTCGTTTATTAATTAACTTATTCGTGACTGCAAAATGGAATTTAAAAATATTGAATTAGAACACCGAAAGCATATTTTACATTGAATTTATTGACAATATAAAATGAAATTTTCCAGTCAGTGGAAAGCGCCAGTTTGGTCAAGGCGATTCTCGCCCTTTTTAATATTTTTTGTGAATCAATACATTTTCCAGTTCGAGCAGATTGTGTAGAATTTCCTAAACTTTTATAAATCGCAATATTTTTCAAAACATATTCGCGATCTAATGAATATCTAGCTTTAACCTTCCGCCGGCGGATGTAGAGTCTCGCGAGATCCGCGAGTTAGAGTTTCCTTTTTTTAATTGTGACGAAAATAAACAATAGATATTTATTTCTATGATAAATATGTATTATTTTTTCTACATATTGGAAATAATTTACTACATATTATAATAAAAAAATTGCTTTTCAAACGTAACTTTTGGAAAAGTATTGTTTTTCGCCTTTCATAAGTGAATTATTACATTTAGAAGCTCAAGGAATCGCTACTTACTGACGAGGGACTAAAACAAATTTACTTTACAGCGCCATTTTTGCTAGATGATAATTTAGATATTAATCCTTTAAAAGATTTTCAAGAAAGTTTTTCCCTCAACACACTTTTGTCGTGTATGCTTTTCAAATAATAGTGAAACAAAGAAAATGATCAATGAACCAGAGCATACAATTCGAAATCCATCTAATTATAACGTTTGAGTAAAGATGGAATCACATAATGCTCGATTTCTTGAATGATAGCATGCATACAATCATGCCTGTTCTGATGTATGTTAGAATTCGTTCATACATCGAGCGCTGTATACATTTTTATATTTATTATGGATTACTTCATAGCTTATTTCCTTGCATGCATCAATCAAAAGAAATGATTGCTAATTTCATAGTTATTTATCTAACGTCAAACTGTATGCATCAAAGCAAGTATAGCAGCATGCATGTATGCATGCATGCATACATACATACATGCGTGCATGCTTATCATTCAAGAAATCGAGCATCGTGTGATTTCATCTTAATAAGTCTCACGGAATAAAAGAAGATTGTGTGTGGAATATTCTTCCTTCTAATCATAATATGATAAACGTAACGTTGTGATGTAATGCACGATTTGATGGAGAGAATATGTAGATATGAAATGGATATCAAATTTCAAATTATTTGATGAAAAATAATATATTTTCATATAAATACTTTGAGCAATCGAATAAAATACTTTGATTATCACAATGGTGTTGATATTGATAATTCAATCCCAATAATAAATATTAATTACTTTAAAAAACGAATGGTAATAATGTCCTCTGCTGAAATGCATGCTTTTGTCACTTATTTTACATTATTTATGGGCGATTTAATTAAATCTAGTGTCAAAGTGGGAATTCTATTTATTACTGTATAATATTGTCCACTAAATTTATAAGAAGAAAATAAGTTTACAAGAAATTAACTATCTTAAAAATTTAATCCAAGAGCATCATATAATGTACATGAAACTTTTCATTACTTCATTCAAACCCAAACACCATTTTCTTATTCATTATCCACGATTAATTAAATTTGTTGGACCATATTTGTTGGTCACATATATTCTCTTTCAGATTTAAAACTTTTCATAAAATTGGTAAATAATAGCTAACGTCATGACATCAAGGAAAAATATTGTCTACATTATAGCCATAAAACATTAATTAACTCACCATTCGCTGAATCTGTCTCAACTGCCCAGGGAGATTTGTCGACTGCGTTGCCCGATATCAAACGTTGGAGTGCTACTTCATTTATACGTTTTTTGTCGTACAACAAACAGTACAGAACAGAGAGATCCTCAGATCTCTCTATCCTATAGTCAATCAACAGGCTTGAAAAATTTGTCGTGCGACAAAAATGCACAAATGAAATATCACCCTTGGACAACACGAACGTTGACAATATCACGGTAAATACTGTGTTTGCACGATGTGATGTTGGCCCAGATTACGTTATGATGTATATAACAACATTATGATCGTGTCATAATGCATGTCACATTAGGCATTGAAATTGAGGATTAGAATGCAGTCAATTCAGTTTCAATTAGAACGAAATTAAAATTAACAGGAAATCGTGTATCTTGAAATGAGGTGAAATTACAAAAGTGAACAATTCATTGGATATTGACCAATTAAATTATGAATATTCTAATGAATTTGTTCACTTCTATAATTTTCATCTCATTTCGAGATACACAATCGATCACCTGATTGGTCGAATTCTAATCTTTACACAATAAGACTTTAAGGCTATCGCAAATAAAATTCCGTAATAGTAAGCGTAAAAAACTTAAGCCGATGAGCCAATCAGGATATTGTTTTTGTTCTACGTAATCTGACAGAAATAGAAATAGCAATAAACTTATCCGTAAGACAAATTTCAACTGATTGAAATAAGTTTATTGGTATTTCTATTTTCGTCAGATTACATGGATCTAAAACAGTATCCTGATTGACTCATCGACTTAAGTTCACTTTTTACTAGGTTACTATTAACAGAAATTTTGTTTGCGATAGCCCTTACGGCGCGACATCACATCGGGCCAAACTATGTTAACCACTTCAGATCTGATTTTATTAGAACTATGTTAAAAAAATTTTTTTTAATTTAGTTCAATGCGTACTTAAATAAATAATTCATATTAAACAATTTTTTTCAAAATTTTTCCAACATACCTTGGTGAAAATTTTCCTTCGAACTTTTCATATAATTTTTCAGAATTTCTATATAATTTTATAATTTTCTCATATTTTTTTTATACGAATTGGAACAATTCTCAAAAAATCTGCATCTTTCCTCAGAATTTTTCGTATATTAAAAATACTTTTTTTAAATTATGGAATGAAAAATTTTAGAATATTTCAGAATTGACTTGTATAAAAAATTCTGAGAGAAAATGTAAACTTTCCGAATATTTTTGAAAAATGTTTCAATTCGTATAAAAATTACGAGAAAAATTTTCACTGGCGTATACCTACATTATCATATACAATCGAGATATTTGTTTAAAAGACATCCCTCATCTTCAATTTCAATGCAACAAAAGAATCTGGCAGTAAAATGTGCCGCGAATTGAGATATTAGCGTTAAAGTTGACAACTATAGAAGTTAATGTCATGTACTCCTTAACAGAGAGAAAGGGTGGAGTAAAAGTGGCTTCGCGTAGAAAGTCACGTGCAACAGTTGTAGAAGTATGCGCCCTTCGACAAAGGAGGACGGGGAGGGCGACATATTTCCTAACCTCTATCGTCGTCAACTTTAATGCTTAATATCTCGATTCGCGGGACTTAGGCACAACATTTTACTGTCAGATTCTTTTGTTTCATGCAAAAAACGCATCAAATGAGAATTGAAATTGAAGATGAGGGGCGTGAACATTTACTTACATTAGATGTCGATAGAATTAAATAATTTCAACAAACAATGTCTTCAAATATGATAAATATTACAATGTATGCTGAATCTGAAGGGGTTAAATCTTAAGATGCAGAACGCGGATCACAGATTCAAACGCGATCACAAAACTAGAAATTAACTTAACGTACCTTAATTATAAGTTACACTGTTGCAGAATGCAAACTACAGGTACAAATTCATTTACGAATCGCTAGTTGGATAGCTCCATTGCTCCACTGCTTTCTCAGTTGCTAGTCACGTGACCTAAATTTACCGAACGACCTCTGGGTGCCAATCATGAAACTTTTTTCATAGGAAAAGTGAAAAGTAAAAAGTGAAAAATTTTTCTATTAACTTCAATAGTTAAAATTTTCATTTTTCACTTTCTATCCTAGGGATAAAGCTTCATGATTGATATCCTGCATAAACAGCTGCTCGGTATCGTATTGGATATTTTCTAATAGAAAATTAGACGAAGCTGAGAATTGTTCACAGTATAAATAAAGAGAAGGTCGTAATTAATTGGAAATCCATCGAGACTTTACAAATAATTAAAACATAATATTTTTAGACTATATAAAAGATTATACTTTTATCAAGATATTAAATTTTATCGATATAAAAGCAATAAATATTTTACAAATATTTAATTTAATTTTTACTAAGACTTTCACAAGTTCTTCTTTTTATTTTATTTTAATAAAATTCATTTTCAGTAATATACAGGGCCTCTATTATTGAAAAGAACTGTGTATGAAATTCTAGAAAAATATTATAAGTATACGTAACATATACTATAGTATTTCCCTAGATTTTTAAATTAGTTTCTTTTCAAAACATAGGAGCTAAGCTGTTATCTGGCGATATTACGAACAAGCAAGATATCCAATCTACGAAGACGAGAGCGAAGCTGCAGAGCAGTTTGTCGTTTGTTTACGTAATAGCGACAGATTGCGAGCAAAACATTCTGAATAGGGATCTCTGAGATAGTTGCACAGATGATATACATCTTTGCGTAAACGAACGACAAATTGCGCTGCAGTTGCCTTCGCAGGTGGAGTAAACGAACGACATCTGCGGCAGTAACTGCATAAGGAACGCACCCTATAGGATGTAAAAAGTTTGGAAAGTTGGATTTAACCGATTCTTAAACCGGAAACACAATGAAAAGCAACAGGAGATAACAAATTTTTCCGGCTTTAGACCTCGTTTCCACTGAGTGCGTCATGCGTCGCGTCGTCACAAGTAATCAATCAAAGCTACGTTCCAAAACTTCCTCTCCGAGGAAAATGTTATTCAAAATATATAGTCCATGTAACGTACTCTATAGAATAAACTCTATAGCTTATAGAATAAAATCTTTCTCGGAGAAGTTTGGAAAATTCTTTCTTCCGATTAGTTAATCAAATGCTTCGAAGCATTCGTAGTGACAACTCGACTACACCCTAAAATATCTCATCTGTGTACACTCACCGATTAAAAGGTTGCAACAGATTTTTTTATGATTTTTGGAATGCAGCCTACTCACCGTGCGATTGGTTTTTATTTACGGATCCATAAGTAAGAACCAATCGCTCGGTGAACAAATTGCATTCCGAAACTCATTAAAAAAAAGTGTTGCAATCTTTTAGACCAATATTACATGCATCCGTTTTTTCATACAACAAATTTTTCTGTCGATGTAGGACAAAGAGGTCCGAGATCTTCTCTGTCTTGCAGCCAATTAACACGCTTGAAAAATTCATCGTACGATAAAAAACGGACGCATATAATATTGGCCTTAGTCGGTGAGTGTACATACACAAAGGGTGCTTTCCGTTTGATCACAAGTTGACACAAGCATCGTTCTATCCTTCTTGACATTCAAAGAGTGACAAAGATAAAACCTGAATCGATGTGTGTCACCAAATGGAAAGCACCCATAATCTTTTTCTTTCCCTCTTTCACGACACAACGTATAATGCGCTCAGTGGAAACGAGGCCTTACTTAAAAAAGATAATACGCGATACTTGTTTTCCTGCTGGATTGCCACCTGCATTAAAATCTTACCATCGTATTGGCTGCGATGTTGACAGTGCCAGCAAGAATCCAATCCAATCTAATCCAATTAGTAATCCAGCAAAAAAAAACATTAAACAAGCATATGTGTCGTGTGTTGCCTGTTATTGAAGACTCTCGGGCCAATATCATGGTGTAAAAATACAAGATGTAAGGGCCATTCCACACAAACTTGCATAGTCGCATAATCATATGCATAAAGAAAATTATGCAATCACATTTCTGTCATAAAGACACACGAAAAATATGATTGGATTTTCTTTATGTTTATACGGCTATATAAGTTTGTATGGAATAGCCCTAACGTTCCCGCGAACATACAGAAAGAGTATGAATTTGGACCCAAATTTGATTAGCTGTTCTAGTATACTATTGCTATTATACGTAGAAAAGTGTATTTGTAATCAAATTTGATTGATTATTTCCCGTATGCTATCGTCATTGCACACGCGCAACGTTTCACAACGTTTGGCTGCGATTTAAACGCTTTCAGCGCTTTTCAGAATTTCTATTTTTATTTTACGTTTAATAAATGATAAAAACAAAATGATGATTACAAGCGTTTAAAGCACGTGACCGTCTATCGATTACAGCCCCCATCTCATCATAGGCGGTATGTCGGCAATCGATTGTCAAGCCAATCACGGCGCAGCACAATGTTAGAAGAATCTTACTCGATGACGACTAATTTTTGTGGGTGCTTTCCAATTGCTTAACACAAACGTACACAGGAATGCATAAAGTGTATCATTGTGCACCCTGAAAAAATTCATCTGAATTTCTCTGAAAATTTCTCCGAAAAAGTTTAAAAATGTCTCTAAAAATGTCCAGAATTTCGAACACGTTTTAGAGTTTTTCAGAGAATTTTTCAAAATTATTTTAGAGCCTTTCAGAATATTTAAGTGATTTTTAAAGATTTTTATGAAAATTTGTTACTATATATTCATAGACTTTCAGAGTTTATCAGAGAATTGTTCGAAGATTTTCAGAGATTTTTGATAAATTTTTAAGAGAATTTATATAAATTTATGTCAGAGACTTTCAAAATTTTGCATGTAATTTTAATCAGATTTTCAGAAACTTTCAGACATTTTCAAAATCTTTGAGGGGATTTTTGAGAGTAATTTTACACTGTTAAATCTATAGTGTCAAATTTAATTCAATTTGAATCGCCACTGCTCTTACTCAATATATCAATATTTTATTATACTAAAACAATGGAGTTAAACAGTTTAAAATGGGTTTAAACTGTTCAAATTGGGTTAAATTTGACACTATAAATTTAACAGTGTAAAATTATTTTTAAAAATCCCCTTAAAGAGTTCAAAAATCTCTGAATGTATAATTAAGATTATCTGTAAAACTTTGAAAATTTCTGACATTATTATAAAAAATTTTCAATTTACAACTCAAAAAATGTATTAAATTTGACTCAAATTTAATTAATATTTACTAATTGCATACGTTAATAATAATATCGTAATTTCGATTAATTATGTTTTGTTATCATTCGACGAATCTGTAATTATAATGTATCACTACGCAACGAAAATAGGAACGACATATATATATTAAAATATAATTTATTTTTTATATTCTTTGGTGCTGGTGACTTATATATATATATATATATACTATATATATATACACACACACACACATACACACACGCGCGCGCGCGCACGCACGCACGCACATACAGAGTAGGATGTCTGACAGCTTGTCTTTCTCACTGAATTCTTGAGTTTCAACGAAATTCAGAGACTTTTAGACACTTGGAGATGACTTTCGGATAATTCGCTGAAAGTCTCTGAAAAGTGAGAAGTCGTGAAAATTCTACCTTCAGAAATATCACTAAATTCTCGACTTTCAAAGACTTTTAGACATTTGGAAATGACTTTTGAAGAATTCTCTGATAATCCCTCAATTTCTTTGAAAAAGTCTCTGAATGTCACTAAAAATCTCTGATAAATGATTTCAGACATTTTCAATGAAGTTTTCAGAGACATTTTTTTACCAAGGAAACTGTTAATATTATTATTATTATTATTATTATATAACATATTTATTTAACAAAAATTATTTTAGTGTCCGAACAGTAAAGAAGAATGGACTGAGGAAGAAATTACATTTTACTAATTGTGGCAGTTTCCTTGTATTGGAGCATTTGATGGCAAGCATATAAATTTGCTACAAAGAAAAGTGGATCCTTCTACAGAAATTATAAAAATAATGATAGTATTATACTTTTTCTGTTTTTCATTATCTCAGCTCATGTAATCGCGATTTATCGTCTCGCAGTCAGAAAATTGCGGCCAAAGACAAATTTACATAAATTCTATTTAGTCGGCCCGACTCTATGTTTAACGTTACTCGCCTGTAAAAGATATGTAAATATGAATTAAAAACAAAATATAAATTCAAAATATTTAAATATTTATTTATGAAAGTAATCTCGAGATGTAGCTGTGTAATCACAAATTATTCTACTTTCTAATTTGTTTCATCTTGATCCCCGGATCGCTTTTAATTTCGATCATGGTGATATATGGACATCCATCGACAACCTTCTTCTAAACATAACGACGTCGTATCATTAAAGCCCATGACACCATGACTATCAATCACTCTTACGGTACGTGCTCGGGAAGCAAAGCGTCTCGCACTCTCGACGGAACTGAACAAACAGTGTTAAGTGTGCTGCTTAATTTCTCATAAATAAGATTCAACAGATTATGGATGTGCAAACAATTAAATTATAATGCCGAGTAGACTCAGCATACATGCTAAATATGCAGCTCGATATTTTGCTCGCATAGAAATATAACAGCAGGCCATTACGTGTGATTGAATTACGTGTGTGAAAAAAATTCGATCGAACTCCTCTGAGAAAAATCATCGATTGTTACTATGATAATTGGATATCTTATTTATGTTGTCTCTTTGCTCTTCTCCTCTTGGTTAAAGATATGGATTAAATCATGGACTAAATAAAAATGCTATATGAGTGTTCAATTTCATAAACGTTAGAAATTATTTTTATTAAAAATAAAATTTTTCATTAATTGAAAAAGATTAAATAAAATAGAGAAAAAAGATTATATAAGAATTATATGGAATTTTAAATCATAAAGACCATGCCCTCTTTTTTGCTAATTGTAAGAAATGCCAACATGCGTTCAAATTAGAAGCGTCAAACAGCGAACAGCAAATCGGTCAATGAGGCGATACTTTTTACGCCCCTGCCCATATCGCTTTGCTGATATTGATTTGTTATTGTTGATATTGATTTGTTGATTTTTTGATGCTTGATGCGTCAAAATACTCTTTTTAACGGCCACGACCTGCGACTTTTCTTTATTGATTCAATTGGTCCCAGGATCCTTATTCTCGAAAAGTATCGCATACGAAAAACTAGGGAAATACTATAGTGTGCGTTACATATACTAGATGTATTCCGAATCGAGTTAGTTTAGATTATTCTTTTTCCTAAATGTTTGTAGCCCCGTAACTAAACCGAGAAGTATTCCAAACCCGACGGCTGCCAATGTATTGTAATATATGTTCATACATATAAAATGTTTTCCCAAGTTGCAGCTCACAGTTCAAGCTCGTGAAATAATTAAAAAAAAAAATAAATAAAAGCAAGCTCGTGAGCTGCAACTCGGGAAAAAATTTTATATGTAGTCAGAAATCGACATCGAATCGACGTTTCGCGATATTTTTCAAGAATAAAGGCCCATGGCGACAGGAGTCAATGTTGCGAGCAACAAGATAATTACACACGCATTATTTACGCTGTTTACTCGCAACGCCTAGGCGAGCAGAGGGCAGAAATCTTAAGTTATAGTCTATTCATTTGTATATTGATTTGACCGCGACGCAGGTTGAACATTTGAGCTAGTCATCAAATTTGTCTGAATTATGACCACACAGCAAATAATATAATCGGACGCGTTAATTTACATTAAGAAAACAGAAACGGGCCTTAAATTTATATTTAATATCATGAAATGTTACTAAAAATTACTTGAATTAATTTGCTTGACGTTATTTTACTTACGTACCAAATTTACTTCTCGCGGATCGAGTAAGATTCATCATACAAACTTGATTCACGTAAAATTAATCTCTACATCTATTTTACGAAAATAAATGTAATTAAAATAAAATTGGAGCAAAAACTATTGCCGCAACACAATCGATTCAATAATGATACGAAAACTTTCTTCGGATAAATAAGATCCATAGGTTAATTCTAACTGAACTGTGTTTTATGCGTGATACGCAAGAATGTATTGCAAAGAATAATGATTAATAATTACGCCGCAATTAATTTCTTCTTCATACTGGTTACGAAATTTTCTGGGATCGCATAAAATTTTTGTTGATCTAAAATATTCTAGAATATTTTTAATGGTCATTTATTTGTTTTCTGTTTTAACACTAAACATTCTATTAATCCTTTAATACACACAATTGGATCATTTGTATATCCTCAGCGGTTTTTTTCTTAAAATATTAAAAACATTTGGCTAAATAATAATCTTTGTTCTTTTTCTAAAAAAAACAAAATTTGATATCTAGAGAACAAATTTTGTGCGTTGCTGACTCCTGTTCTTGCCTATCGTCCGATGAGAACGTTTTATTCCACCTTAGGACGCAAAAGACCCTCGTATATAGAATATAACCTTTTTGCAGCTAAAAAATTTTTTTATTCTGAACTGATTCTTGTTTATATTGCGAAAATTTCACGAATTTTTAAAAAAATGAAGAATGATATGGTTTACGTTGATCATTATAAATAATATTTTAAAAAATGTAGTAAATATAAGATTTCATAATATTCAAATAAAAATTCAGAAATATTTTTCCATTTTATTGTAACCTTTTTTGTAACGCAATATCAATGATGCATTATTTAAAATTTAAATGCAATAAACGTTTTTACCCGTTTATGTACTATAAAAAAATGTCATTTTCGGCACAATAACTAAATTTTTTGGACAGCCCACACTTGAACTATTTTTTCTTTTGTAATTTGGAATGTTAACTTTAAGATATTGAAACATATTTTTCCTTTAAGCATTTTTATTTCAGAGTTTTATATTTTTATATAGAAAAAGAGCATTTTTCTCATTTTATCGATTATAATTGGATATAATATTTATATACAATTTTTATAAATATATACAACTTTACAAATATTTTCTAAAGATATCGAAGTATACGTAAGAATCACGTAATAATTTTTACATACTTATTAAAGTAATGAAAATTAACAGGAAGACCAACGGTGTATGATAAAGGTGCCAAAAACTATCGTATATATTAAGAGTTATATTAATAATAAAATTAATATTAAATATTAATAATTATTAGTAGTAAATGTAATTCTTGCTAGATCTGCTTTTGCGTTTTGCAATTGCAAGACTAAATAAGAGTAAATAAAAAGATTAAACAATTATTCTGGCTTCTTATTTTCCATTACATCTAATTACTGTAAGTATAATATTAATATATGTACTTCATCTCGATTGATTTATAAATAAGCAATTAGTTTCTCTTGTTTCTCACGCGCGCGCTTGAAATAGTTGGAGAACGAATTTACATGTAGTATCGTTACATTACAAATAATAATTTGAAATTCCTATTTTTGTCAGGTTCAACAATCAATATGATCACCGTTATACGTGTTATCGTGCAAGTAAAATGTTTACGATCAACGCGACGAATTTGTCAGCGCGCGTTATATCGAATAAGCGAGAATCACGAACAATCGACGCGATCGATGGATCGATTTGATCAAGGGACCGACGCGATCGATACAAAGTAGCAATATAGTGGTGCCCCCTATGCAGTAACCACATTTATCGCATTAGGCCCCAGAATCATGTGTTTCCTCAGTATGTTGCGGCCTTAGTTTGTGTGCGGTTGTGTCGCGCGAAAGTTACTTGTAGATCGCGAGTCGAATCGATTTGTGACGAGAAATAAAGTGTGTGCGCGCACGTTAAGACGACGAATTCGAGTATAAAATGGCGAGTACGAAATGGCGGAGGATCAATGATCATTGATACGTTGTTACAGTTCACCGTGAGATCGGCTCGTTTATCACTTCGCATTTTCCTTAAGCCACCGAAGCGCCGCGGAGCGGCACGCGACCACAAGCGCGTCTCGCAAGTTCCGTGGGAATCCGGAAAAAAACACGAGAAATTCCTTTTTTTTTTCCTATCTTCCCGTTCTATCTCCTTTTCCCCTCGTCCTGCTCGCGCCAGTTCGGAGACCCTATCGTATCGTCTACTTTACGCGCCCCTCGAATTGTGGCATCTGTGTGATGTGGTTTCCCGTCATCCGGTTTTCGCTCCATTTGGCGCCTCTTGTCGCGTGAATATTTGATTTGTTCAATCCCTCGAATTTAAGCTATTCCCTTAAGGGGAACTAGTGCTGTCCAGTAATTCCTCGGCTTTTCGACGGGAATCCTCTTGTCAAGATTCTCTTGGGAATTGGGGATGTTGAGATAGTCATCTCTCCGCCCGCCATATTCATCCAAGCGGTATTGAATTACCATGCTGGACACAGCCACGAGTAACAGGTAATATCGCGTGCAAATCTCTACTTGTTATCTCTCTCCTTACGTTTGCTTTCTCTCTGTCTCTCTCTCTCTCTTTCTCGTGTTGCACGCGCGTTCCTCTTACTGTGCCTTCTCTTTCTCGTCGGATCACGACCAGTCCCAAACGATATGCAGAGAATAGCCGGAGAATACAGCTGCGTATTCGACAAATAAAAGAGTTGTTCCGCACACAAAAGCGCGAGAGACGGCCGCCGATTGGACGAATGCCAGTCGCCGATATGCAGAGATTCTTGAGAGAAATATTCCCTCGTACATCATTCGGCATGCTCTTTGCCGATGGACGACGTCGTGATCCCATACGAGATTACAAGATTACGCTATGGCACAGATTTTTGCACGCATCTGAAGTTTGCC